GCAGTTTGACTGCTTTGTCTGTCCATGAATCATGCCTAGAGTTTTTTGCTGACACGTGACGTCTTATGCTAAGTCCCAGTCCATTGTATTACCCCAAGATTATTACATTGAGCTTTTTAAATTTTTTTTTTTGTATTTTAACCTAATTATCTCCCCAATTTAGTCGTCGCCAATTCCACCTGCTAGTTAGGACTCCCCCAATCACACAATACTATCAACGCTAGGAGGGCGAAGGCCAACACAGGCTTCCTCCGAAGCCAGCCACTGCTTCTTTTCGAACTGCCGCTCACACGATGTCATCGGACAGTTGAACGCGCTCGGAGGAAAGCACCAACCGCCAGATCTGTTACGTCAGCTAACAGACGCCTACACTGACTAGCATCGCGTTAAGTGACGGGGGAGAAGGAGAGGCCATGCTACCCACCCAGAGAGAGCGAGGCCTATTGTGCTCTCTTGGGCTCCTGGCTACGGATGGCTGTAGCATTACCAGGGATCGAACTCGCGATCTACTGATGATAGGGCCAACGCTTAGACGGTTGCGTCACTCGGGAGCATTACATTGAGCTTTAAATCTCAGGAAATTGATTTAATTGATTTTGCCTCTTTGGTTAGGAAGGCTGTGCATTGGTTCTGTCCTTGTGATCAGCGAGGTTGGTGGTATACAGTTTTACAAAGTAAGAACTTGAGTTTGAAATGTGTTCTACAACCCTGGTTTTACCAATGAAGAATGAGAGTTCTTACTACGCTGGCCTCTGCTGATCTTGGATCAGAAGCTGAATAATTATCTAGAATTACGTTGTTGGGCAGCATAGAGATTGTTATAGACCTCAGAGGGGAGGTCTATAACTATGCCTCTGTCTGCCTAAGGCCAAGACCTCACTTCGAAAGGTGGTGGAAAAGTTTAAACTCAGTGGTGTCGCATGAAGACTTCATTTATAAAGCCAGGGTTGTAGGACAACCCATTCTTTCTCAGTCTTTGTCCTGAAAGATCACTGTCCTGCATAGTGTAATATGTGCCCAGCTCTGCCACATTAGTTAAACTCAAAAAAAGGTTCTGTAAGTATATTATGAATCAGATTTGATTAATAATTGGTCATTATGTGATGTAAAACATAACATTTAATTATAAAAAATGTTCATAAATGAAACTATTCCAAAACACATTCCACACAGATTACCAATTATTTCTATGCTGAATAGTTAGCTCAAACAGTCTAACCCTAAAAGGCCCAAGCCTAGAAGTGGCCATGTGGACACATCACGCTTTTTCTTTAACTGCAGTGTAGTGATACAGTACACTGTCTATACATGATTTATATTGTCTGATTCAGCACAAACTCAGTTTTTCAGTAATGCCAGTTATTAATGCAAAGGATGCACTAGAACCATCTAGGTCGCTGGAATGAGCTGTGATGGCAGTCACATTTAGAAATGCTGTATAATATACTATGATATAATATGCTTTTTTATTTCAGCAATATGTGATTGTTATCTGTTCATGCTGTAAAGAATCTACATATTGAGTGTTAGCTTCTCAAAAAGGTTTGTCACCTAAAGCACACTATTCATTTACTTCGTATGAGAAAATATTTCAAGCTAATTACTGTTTCATTGTTACATCATGGAAAATATCCCACCCCTTAGGCTGAAATCGGGGGAAATGAGACTGATTGTTAGCTCAGATAGTTAGCACAGATAGCTCAGTGGTCCATGCGATTAAGGAGAGTGGATTTTTTTAATAGTAATTGGCTTGAACTCAATCAGTAAGTGGCAGGGCAATGTCACAGTACATTAAGAAAGTGCTGGATCAAACGCCAGCTTGCCAGAGTTTTTGTGCTAGTCATAATACTATGTGTTGTGGAGAATCTGTTGTTTCTCTAAACACATTGTTGAAAGCAATGTTGCAGAAGAGAACGTATATAGGTGCATGTTGGCTTTTTTCCATTGTTTCATTTGGTACCCTAAAATCTTGTGGTGTTTCTTTAAAAAATAGTTTACGTTAAAAAATGTAAGTTAATATTACTTTTAGTAATATTTTTTGTCTTTTTTTTGTCAATTTCCAAAAAAGAATATTTCTCTTTGTACTCCTTTGCTGAATTAATAAGATTTAAAATTTACATATAATGAACATATACACAGGGTATCGCCCTGATGATTAAAAAGTCTTTACATAGTAGTTTAAAAGTGTCATGCATTCGGCTAGTCAGCCAATGAACTACATTCCCCGGAATACACTGGGGAATCAGGAGACGGAGCTATTTCCTTCGCTGGCCAGTAATGACTCGGACTCCATTTCCCAGAATCCTCAGCCAGCTCACATGACTCCGCAGAGATCCTCATCATCCTATCACCGTTCAAGATCACCTGAATACTAATGCTGTGCACCTGTGTATTTGTGTCATATGACATAGACAGTATTTTAGCCCAGGGCTATAGCTAGAATCATTGCGAGGTATTGCTTTCCTTTGAGAAACTACTGAGCGTTCTTCCTGTTGTTATCTATCATGTGTATGACCTTCTGCTTTCCGTTTTCTCTGACTCTGTTTTTGGATTTGCCCCTGTGTACTTTTGCCTGGTTTATTGGATTTGTTGTTTTGACTCATTGCCAGTTTTTTGGACTTCACTCTGTTTTCTCCTTGTCTGTTATGGTAGCCCTTTCTCCACTGCTGTTTATATTGGCACTGACCCATGCCTGTTTGCTGACTACGTTACACTTGCCTGAGTCCACAAGTAAAGCTTTGATTGTGTTTTTAACCGCGAGCGCCTGCTGACTGGTCATATGTTACAAAAAGTTGGTGGGGAAAAACATATTAGCTCAGTGTTGATTTACTATTACAGTATTATTAAAAAAAAATTATATTCATTGTCCATTTCAGGTAAGAAATCTAAAACTATTTATCTGTCCCATTAAAATTGCTGTAAAGTTTCAGCCTGCAAGTCCTTTTTCAATGAAAGTCAAACAAACAGGACATACACTCAGCTTTTAAACAACCAACACAGGTGATAGCCATTTGTGGTGATTTCAGGTGGCCACACCTTTGTGCAACTTGGCAGGGAAGAGTAATGTTACTGGTGGAAGTGAAAGATTGGTAAGCAGACCACCGCATAGTTGTTCAAAGGCTTCTCCTTGACATCTGACTGAACTCCTAGAAAAAGACAAGATCAATGATAAGTAAATGTAAATCAACTATACGGTAGCACTGTGATGGACTGTCGACCAGTCCGGGGTGTTTCCTGCCCTCCGCCCATTGAGCACTGGGATATGTTCCAGCAGTCCCCCCGCAACTCATAAGGATAAGCAGCTTAGATAATGTGTGTGTCTACTGTAGCATCAGTGTAAAGTAAGGCACAGGGGAGGCCATGATTCCACCGAGAAGTGCTCTTTATTAAATACCAGAGCAGAAAGGCACATACAAAAGCACTGAACTCAGGGGGAGGTCACAACTAGCCATATACTTCACCCTCATGGTGACCACCAATCCACACTAACAAAACCCACTCCCTGACACAGAACAACACAATAAACACATAATGCAATAGCATTAACAACATATAAGTCCCTTTTCTGGAGGACGCACGCCTCCCATGAGCGAAAGGTGAAGAGGAATAACAAAAAAAGTAAAAATGGAGATAGTTGAGAAACTTTGTGAGATCTGTCTTTTTTTCCTAAAAAAAGTTTTTTTTTTTCTAAATGTTTTAGCAGTTAACGCCACAAAAATAAGCGATAACGTATCCTGTCTGTATAATAGAGCTGAAGCAGTTTTCAACATATACTTTGATCGTTTGCTAACTTAAGCTAGGCAAGTTATTGATAGTCCTCCTTTGGGATGTAAATGTTTAACTGATTAACCACTAACTGACTAATAAACAATTGGTCAACCAATGCTGTTGGTAACAAAAGTATTAATTTAATTTTATTTCATTTCCAATAAGCAACAGTTCCCATTTGAACTGGAGGGTTTATCACAGAAGTTGAATAATGTTTCTGAATTTTATGCGTGAAGACGCAATAGGCCATAAGTTCTGTTAAAAATGCCAGCTGAAACTGAAGCACACATATAAAAATAGACCATTTTTTGAGCAAACATCCGCAAACATCCACAAGAGCTAAGACAGACAGCTTCGCAGAAATTGCGAAGAATCACAGATGGGTGGACAAAATTATAGTTAAGGACATGGTGGACAGTGACAGTTTTAGAGTGACATACACTGAAGTACACTGAGCCAAAACTAGCCCTGATTATGCTCATCTGAACGAAATGAAATGAGTTGTATATATATATATATATATATATATATATATATATATATATATATATATATACTTAAATAAATAAATAGTAAAGTTTTCCCTTAAGTAATGATAACTAATCTTAAATAATGGTGTGGCCTACACGTGCTTTGCTCTGCTGTTTAGCCTTTCTGTAGCTGCTTGCACTGTAACTCTATCCCCAAAACATAAAGTTTCTTTCTATAGTGTCTAACAGTGGGTAGACTGGAAATTTTGATGAAGGAGAACCACATTTCTTACATTTACATTCAAACTTTTGTAATAGCTTAAATATCAGGCTTGTATACAATACAAACAGGTACAATTGATGTTGGCTTACAAATTAAAATTACACAAAAAAATGTTGTCATTTCAGTGAAATAAACTGAAGTGGCAAAAACAGTAGCTGTACCCCAAAGAAAGTAGCATTAAAAAGAAATAAGGACCATATATGTAGCTCTGTGGGTACTAATATATCTGTAAAACTACAATCACCTGGCAGTGTGTCACAGTCCACGTTCTTTCACCAACAGAACGGAATGAAGTAATAGAAAAATAACTATTAGTGAATGACTAAAATGCAGCAGCTTATGTGTGGTCATTTGAAAAGACTTATAAAAATGCACATCAACGTTTTATTTTAGTACAAGTAACTACTACAGTACTAACCACCTCTGTTTAAGGGCTGTACATTGACAGAGTGTAATCTGTTTTTAATGGAACATCCTCATCATAACTGCACCTTCTTTGAGTGTAGAATCTTTAACATAATGTGTCTGATCTCAGTACACTGCAATGCATATATGACAGGATTCAGAATGCCTGGGCCGATGTGGAAGAGCAGCGCTGCCCCTTTCCTGTAATCTGCATAACCAGAGAAACGATGGAGTATGATCATAATACAACCAGACAGCCACATGATCAAATAGACAGTCAGGTGTGTGCTGCAGGTTTTCAGAGCCTTGCTGTTCAGAGTTTTGTTTTTACTGTTAATACAGACAGCTGCTATTTTGGAATAAGTAAGTACAATACTTCCCATAGATGAGACAAGTATAACTGTTGTGCATGCCAGGCCATATACGTTATTAATGGAGTCATTCTCACATGACAGTTTGAACAGCGATGCATTATCACAAAACGGATTTGCTATTCGTGTTCCACAGCGATTCAGCCTTATTGTGAGACCTAACAAAATACCTACAAAGACCATTGCCACACCCCAGGCTGATGCAGTCAGTTTAGCCACCATTTTAGTCGTCATAATAGTTGAGTAGTGCAGTGGATTACATATGGCAACGTATCTGTCAAAGGCCATAGCCATGAGAATTGTGTGAGAAGCAGTAGCGTGCATATAGTAACAGAAAGCTTGAGCAACGCATTCACCATAACTGATGTAGCGTTCAGAACTTGGCCTTAAAATGTCCACCATTATCCGAGGGATGACAACAGAGTTTCCGAACACATCGTTAAAGGGAAGGTTACAGAAGAGAATGTACATAGGTTCATGTAGGCTTCTTTCCATTGTTATGAGCAGAATGATTCCAATGTTAGATACTGCAATGAGTACATAGAAAATCAAGAAGAAAAGAAATGTAGGATAAATGTATTGCTCAGAGACAACCAGTCCCTCCAGTTGTATAAAGGGGCTATTAAATGTCAGGTTTTCCATTGAGAAGCGATATGACAGCTGATTGCAATAAAAAAGCAGATGGTGGTTAGAAAAGTCAGATCAGCACAATCATAAATCTTTTAGGGTGTCTTTAAATGTACTTTTCTAAAATGAAAATTAGTATATATTGGTACATGTCCTTCATCACAATAAAAAAACAGCTTACTAGACATTCACTCTATTAATATAATTTACCTGTAATGAACAGATACATATATATAGGCTATATCTTCCTGTGTGATTAAGAAGTTATTATATGGTATAAGAAACAGTTGGTCAGAAAAAATAGCTCAGTGTTATTTAGGTGTTACATTAATATGAGCAAAACACAGTATTGACTTATTCATTGTCCTAGCAAGTGATCTTCGGAAACTGATTCAAAACAACATAACAATTATGTTGTGTCTGACCACCCATCCTTTTATTAACCTCCTTTTCTGGTTGTGACAAGCTCACGGGACTGAAGGAGCGTCACAACAACAGTTTGTTGTCTGCAGTGTGTACCAACCTGGATATGTAATCATGTAGTTCAGTGTTTGTCATTCTTTGTCCTGAAGGAGCACTGCTCGGCATAGTTTAGTATTTTCCCTGATGTGACATATTCAGTTCAGTTTCTTTTAGTAATGGCTTCTACTTAGATAGTGAATTTAGATTTGATTAACTAGATTTGAATCAGTTTTAGTGGAGCAGGGAAAACATGAAACTATACAAAGCAGTGGTATTCCATTCCACGACCAGTTTTTCAAACACACTCTGTGACTAGTACCCTGTTGTGATATAAAACATAGCATATTATCCACATACTTCATGCAGTTTTTCTGTACAGAACAATTACAACAGTTAACTTTTGTCTTACACTGTAAGTGTTTTATATCATCTGATTCAGCACAAATTCATTGGGTGTTTTGGGTCTTTCAACATCAGACACCCTCTCTTGTGTTCAAGTAGTAGTCCATGCAGTCCATGGTTCACCTTTCTTGATCCACAACCCTCTATAAGTGTTTTCTGCTGCCTCTATGGCTACATTCACATTACAAGCCTCATTGCTCAAATCTGATTTTTTGCTCAGATCTGACCTCTGACATTATGGTTCACACTCGTTTAGGTAAGTGAATTAAATCTATCATTAATGTGAATGGTCTGAGTGTTCTTATTAAGGTCACATGGCCATGAATTGGATACATATCCGATCTAGGACCACATATGAAAGTGGCTCAGGTCAGATTTGAAAAGTTGTGTGTCCACACAGCATCCAAACATCAAATCTGAGTTACATTAGGGCATAAAACTGGATTTATGCCCCTTGAACCTGGTAATGTGAATGTAGCCTTTGATGTCCTCGATTGCCTTTTTCTTTGTGATTCCTCTGAGACCCAACAGGCTACAGGCCTTGCTGCGGGAGTGTGCTGCAAACCTCTACAGCCTACTTCAGTAGGCATACATTGAGCTCCCCAGCCCTGTCTGTGGCACTCCAGGACCAAGTCTGAATATTTTTGTCTCTCTTCCGCTTGTTGACCTCCTCCATTCGGTCTTCACATGGCATAGTCAGCTGCAGCGTGACCACGGTTCTTGGTACTTCAGATACCAGGATGTAACAACAATGTAACAACAGGCTTGCCACAGTTTTCCTTGCAGCCATGAGCTCTAGTCAGTAATACCATGTGTTGTGGATTTGTTTATTCTCCAAATACAGTGTTGAAAGGAAGGTTACTGAAAAGACTGTACATACATGCATGTTAGACTCCTTTTATTGTTACATACCATAATGAATACATAGAAAATCAGGAAGTATAGTAATATAGAATATAGGTTTTGCACAGAGACAGCCAGTCACTCCAATTGCAAAACACAACTATTAAATGTCTAGATTCCCACTGAGATACAGTACAACAACTGTTTGAAAAAGGAGGCAGAGGGAGGTTAGAAAGGTCAGTTCAGCACAAACATAAATCCTTTAGTGTATCTTTAAATATATTTTTAAAGTAGATTTTACTTTTAGTAAATATCTGTTTATCTGCTCATTTGCTATATTAAAATAGTTTACATTTAATCCACATACCATTAAAATTGTCTTGATGTTTTGGACTACCAGACTTCTATCAAATGAAAGTAAAAGAAACAAGATATACTCATGTTTTAAAAAGCAAACGCAGGTGATGGACAATTGCAATGATTTCAGGTGGACACACCAATTTTTAACATGCTAGGGAAATGTAGAGGAACATCAGAGAGAAAACCCTCCCTACAGCTATTAAAAGACTCCTTTTTGCCAGCAGACTGAACTCTAGGGAGAAGACGATCAATAATAAGTAAATCGATCAACAGTACAAATGCACGCACAGATTTAGAGGAAGGTGGAGAGAGGGGAGAAAGAAATAAAATGGTGATATCAGAGATTTTTTTTTCACCAGGTTCATCACTAAATGTTTTTGTTTTGCAGCAAAAGGAAAAATAAGTCTGTATATTACAACTGAAGGTGATTTAAACTTGTATTTACTGTACTATCACACAAGTGTATAAAATTATAAAGAAAGACATGGTGGTTGGTGAAGGTCTTAGAGAATTGCTGAGATACACTCAGCCAAAGCTAAGGTCATGTTCATTTTAACTGGAGCTAGTAACGAGTCATAAATATAGGTTTAGAGCTTTAGAGCCTTTAGTAGCCCATCACTATATCCATTCATTTCATCAGTGTTTTAGTTTTTGATCATATAATCCTGTATATTTAGCTCTCAGTCTCTCATCTTAAGCAAATCCAGTTCTAGTAAAATATATTTCATACAGTTTTGGGCCACTTACTAAAAAAATGCTACACTTGGCCAATTCGTTCTCTTTGTCAATCTGGATTATTGGTTCATATTAATGAATCTTACAAAGGTACATTATCATGCTGTATATCCAGATTAAGCCCTGCTTAAGGTTTCCCTTAAAGTGTGGCCTACAAATACTTTGTTCTGCTGTTTAGCGTTTCTGAAGTTCCTTCAACTAGAAGTGGGTACATTTGGTAGAATTATACATAAATAAAGATAATATTTCAGTGGTAATTATCTCAAGTAGCAATTACAGTAGCTTTACTCCCCAAAATAGTAGAATAAAAGTATCAGCACAAAATGTAGTTCCATAGATTTAAGACTGCAGTTTCCTACAGTGTACAACAGTCCAGGTTCCTTCACCAACAGGACGCAGAAAAAAAAAGAAATTTGGAACTGATTATGAATGACTAAAATGCATTAGAGTAAAACTTGTTTCCCCACAAATATAATAAGTAGTGTAAGTTTCGTCATTTGAAAAGACATGCATACAAGTAACTGAGTAAATGCAACTAACTACTTTCCACTTCTTTTTAGGGGCTATACATTAGTATGTGCAGCATCATCACATATAAACAGGCAAAATTAGAACCACTTTGACTGTTATTATTTCAATGTCAAGTCAAACTGAAGAAGAAATCCTTTCCTTTTTAATACTACATGAACATTATCATCGTGACATCAGTTTTTTTGAGCATAGAATCTTTAACATAAGTTGTCTAATCTCAGTGCACTGCAGTGCGTATATTACAGGGTTCAGAATACCTGGGCCAATGTGAAAAAGCAGCGCAGCTCCTTTCCTGTAGTCTGAATAACCAGAAAAACGATGGAGTATGACCATGATAAACCCAGACATCCACATGATCAAATAGACGGTCAAGTGTGTGCTGCAAGTTTTCAGAGCCTTTTTGTTTAGAGTTTTGTTTTTAGTAGTGAGACAGACAGCTGTTATTTTGGCATAGGTAAGTGCAACACATCCCAAAGAAGAGCCAAGTACAGCTGCTGTGTATGCCAGGCCATATACATTATTAATGTAAGGATTCTCACATGACAGTTTGAAGAGTGATGCATTATCACAGAATGGATTTGCAATCAGTGTTCCACAGCGATTCAGCCTTATTGTGAGACCTAACAAAATACTCACAAGGAGCAGAGCTGCCCCCCAGGCTGATGCAGTCAGTTTAACCACCATTTTGTTTGTCATGATAGTTGTGTAGCGCAATGGATTACATATGGCAACATATCTGTCAAAGGCCATAGCCATGAGAATAGTGTAAGATGCAGTAGTATACGTGTGGTAACAGAAAGCTTGAGTAACACATTCACGATAACTGATGTAGTGCTCAGACGTTGGCCTTAAAACGTCCACCATTAACCGAGGGACAACAACAGAGTTTCCGAACACATCGTTAAAGGGAAGGTTGCAGAAGAGAATGTACATAGGCTCATGCAGGCTTCTTTCCATTGCTATGAGCAACACGATTCCGATGTTGGACACCATAATGAGCACATAGAAAACCAGGAAGAAAAGAAATGTAGGATACAGGTTTTGCTCAGAGACAATCAGTCCCTCCAATTGCAAGACAGGACTATTAAATGTCAGGTTTTCCATTTAGAAACAATATGACAGCTGTTGAACTAAGAAAGCAAGTCGAAGTGTCTCTTTAAATATATATTTTTAAAATAAATTACTTTTAATAAAGATCTAGTGCCGATCCTTCATTAAAATAAAAAAATATATATATTTTCCTTTATTAAAACAGACTGTATCCCTCTGGTGATTAAGAAGTCTTTCCATAGTAGTAGAAAATAAAATGGTGGGAAAAACACATCTTAGCTCAGTATTATTTCAGTGTTACAGTAACATTACAGTACAGTAGCAAGACTCAGCACTGATTTTCAGTTTCCATAAAACAACAACCATATTATATGCCTGATCAACCATCCTTTTATTTGCATTCTGTACTGACTCATGGGACTTCTGATGGAGTGTGGTAACTGAGGTGTGGTGACTGGAGCACGTTCCAATCAGATGTGCAGTCATGTAGCTCAGTGGTTCACTGTCTTGGTCCTGAAGTATCACTGTCTTGTATAGGTCAGTATTTTTCCTGCCCTGACACATTTAACCGAAACTGACATTGCACTGAACTGAAAAGTTTTTTAATTAGATGATTTGCATCATGGTTGGGGCAGTGAAAACATGAAAGTATGGTAGTGGAATTCAGTCCCAGGACCAATGTTAAGAAACACTAGCCATGTTTACATGCAGCCAGATAATACATTAATAATTTGACTCATAGCTCAATCAGAATAGAATACATCCATGTATACACCTCAGTTGCAATAGACTAGTCCGATTGAGGCCATTCGGAGTACAATTTCTGTCTGATTGAATGTGGTGGCTAATCCTGTAAATAATCCGTTAAATAGAAGAACAATTAAATTCCCTGTTGGAAAGTTTAAGTATGCTCTGTGCATGTGCGTTCGCATAGCTAAGCATGCGCAGAATTTTAGATTGGATTACTCGTAGTGCGAACGCAAATGGACATTTTTCAATAGATTGTGCAGTAGAGGGTGCATATAAACACCTCAGTCTTAACATATAATCGGAATGTGGTCAGTCGGATCGGCAAAAACCTTTGTATGTGAACACAGCCACTGATTTAGGTCTCTTTAAACAGACTCGGTTACTGGAACCCTGTAGATCTTCAGTGTTTCAGTTTCTTTGGCCTTCATGCAATGTAAAACATAGCATTTAATGATAGGACTTTTTTAAAACACAAAAATGCTATAACACACACACACACTACCCAGTATTTCTGTACTGATTTGTTAACTCAAAATGTTTAACACTTTAAGACTAAAGCCTAGAAGTGGCCACCTGGACATATGGTTCCTTTTATATGTAAGGTACTGCCAAAGTACACTATCTACAAATGTTTTAGTTCATCTTATTCAGCTCTATGTGTTATAGGTCTGTGACCATTTTTGACTGTAGTAGGCATTTTAAGTTTATCTTAATGGTAACATATACTGCTGTCTAGCTGTTCAGGACACATCACACTCCAGACATTCCTCAGTTGTTACCAGCCTACTTATCAGTGCCCTCTAAAAGCATGTTTATTTTTTCATTAACCACACTGAAGAAAATCTAAATTTTCATTCACTGGTAAGATTAAATGCTAATATAGCAGTCATGTTTTGAAACGTTGTACGGGAGGGCCTCCAAAGCTAAATCTGCTGGATGGTGTATTTAAATCTCTGATTTGCTGCCAAGTGATGACATGTCAGCATGGCTGCTGCTAATTGTTGGGCTCTAGAGGTGCTGTTCCTTTTGGAGCTATGGGAAGGGAGATGCACAGAATTGGTCACTACCAGGGGGAGTTGCCTTTAAAAATGATGCATCCAAGAGGAAACGATTGTGCTTTGCTTCTGATGCAGTTTCCATTGTTTTCCTGGTTCCCTGACCAGTTATTGGAAAAACTTCAGTCATGAGCATTGTCCAGTGGCCCTTGTGTCAGATGTTGTGCAGTGTCCTGTGGGATACAGTTTAGAATCAGTTGTGGGAGTCAAGTCACCTATTTACAGAAGCTATGTCTGAAGGTTTTATATCTGTCACTGAGGGAGAGCCAGAGGTCTGTTCTGAAGGACACTGGTGCTCCCCAGTCTTTGCTGCTTGGGAGAATCTATTTGCCAGATTATACTTCTGTCTTAATAGAAGGTGTTGGGAGAGAGTATGTCTCCGTACCATTGAGTATTTTTTGAGTTCAAATGGGCGTTGTGCCTTCCCTGGCTGTTAAAGGCATTAGCTTGTTATTAGAAAATTATCTTGCCAGTGAGCAGGTTCGTATTACCTTGGTAGTGAATGAAACATCTCTGTGATGACAATAAGATAGAGGCTCTTGAAAAGGAGTTTTTAGAAGTTTTTTTCTGCATGTGTCATCACCTGTACAAAGTAACCAGTTAACTTCAGTAGACCCAAGCTGAACCACCTAGTGTCTGAGGTAGTAATGTTAGAGATGTCATCTACAAAATCAGACAATTGTGGGATTGGCTGATACTATGTTTGCTAGTTTACTTGGGGAATGTAGTGGCAAGCAGATTGATAAAGAGGTACTGATTGAGGAGCAGAGGTGATTCATGTACATGTACTGAACAAGTGCCAGCACAGGTAAGGTAGTTGGATGACCCAGTGTATTAGAGGCTCCATGCACAGATAAAGATAATCAGAGGCCAGAGTACTTACAAGTGCTCTTCTTTTATTAAAGATTGGTACACATTATTTACCTTGTGTGAGAGAAAAAAAGCAAAAAGGTAACAGAAACAAAATGATTAAAAGAATTTACGGGTTAGAACAACCTCACTGATAATGCTATCAATGATCAACAGTTCTAGTCACAAGGAATACTAGCTATCTGAGGATTTTAGGTCAGAGCTTAACAGGGCAACAGCTCTGCATCCTCTCTCTCTGTGTATGACTCTCTCTCCAGTACCATGAATCCCCCCCCTCTAAATCTGGTATCCCCTCCTACACCTGGTCAGGAAGATACCACATCTAAACAAAGATGGGGTAACACAGATTCGTAATACAGAGCAAATAAGTCATCGATTCCAACATGTATATTAGTTCATTCACGGCTAGCAATGCTGATGTAGTGTGTGTGTATATATATATATATATATAGTTAGGTACCTTTAGGACCACAATTTATCAATAACATGCTTCTAGCAAAATTTCTCTCTTTTACAGGTTCTCCCCCTCCCATGGGCCATGGTGGATCCTCCCAGGCCTAGCCAAGGGGGGGGGGATCCACACTCAAGTGTGACCAGGTTCGATGGAGAATAGGCTGACATGGGGATTTAGATGAGGCACAAATGTCACATCCGTTGCGGCTAGGCCACACCACCTTACGGGTAATTATAAATTATTTCTCCAAGGCCTGTCACTTAATACCCGTGATGATGTCAGTTAAACCTGACACATCACCAAGCACTTACAAACCAGTAAGAATATGTATATATCGTGATTGATTATTATATTGTTTGAATGTATACTTACCTGTAGTGAGTCCAGGTGAAACCAAGTTTCCTGAGTCCGGAAAGCGGAGACGTCTCTTTCTAATGTTGGCCACCAAAATTTGTTCCGGACTAAAGCTACCATCCTCTGAATACCTGCGTGAGCAGAACTGGGAGAGGTGTGTATTATTTGTAACAAATGAGAGCGAATACTCTGTGGAACAAATACCTTGTCTGGTGGGAATTCAGTGGGTATGGGATGGTTGTTGTGGGCTTCCTGTATTTTCTGCCGGAGGAATTATAGGTTCCTTTCCCCTCATCCTTTGCTCTGGCCCGTAAAGTGGAGATAAGGCATCTGCCTTGATGTTCTTGGGTCTAGGTCTGTAAGTCAAAACGTTTAAAGAAGAGAGCCTGTCTGAGTTGAAGTCTTTTAGCTGACTTAGAATATTTAAGGTTTTTGGGTGAGCTGCGTGAAATTGGGCACCCTCAGCATTGTAACATGGTAGTCGAATACGCTCTGGTTCTGCCCTGCCATGCCGCTGCTGGATGCCGCCGACCGTCAGTACTCCGCTGCTTTTGCTGTCCTTGCTGATCGCCGCCGCATCGCCACCTTGCTCACCTCTTTGGCTGCCTTCTCAGCCATCGCCTTCCTCAATCAGCTGGTCTTCTCTTCTCCTTCGCCGTCTGCCACAGAGTTTATCAATCTTCTGCTCAATCTTTTCTAGTCCTGACACTAGTGTAGTGTGGTACAAAGGAAAAGTCAGGATTAAGCCATAAATTCTGCTCAAAACTGTGCTCTTTTATTAAAGAACAGGGCAGAAAAGCCACTGAAACACAATACAACTAACAAGGAGATGACCAAGAGCCATAGGCTCCCTTCCCAAGGTGACCCCCCCTTACACCAAACAACCCACATCTCCAAACTCCCCATGTCACATAGAACACATGCACATACATATATTCAAACAAACACAAACAGCAACGACAGCAAACATCTATAACAAGGATGGGGGGGGGCACACAGTGCAGCTTTACATACCACAACCGTATGCAACAAGGAGCAGTTGGCGGCTGCCACAATGTTATCAGCATTCTAGCAAAAATGTAAATTTGGCTCAGTATGTCCAGTATCTAGCAGCCCAGGCACTTGTTTTACTGTTAAGAAATAGATCGTTTAATTGCCTTGTAACATCCATTCACTCTTTGTCCTGGTCTTTCTGTGTTTGCCTTTTTCTTGGTTTCCTAGTGCTGTGTGTTTGTGTTTATCTGCCATGTGCTTTTGTTGTCATGCTGGCTCCTCCCCTGTCCTGCCCTGTCTTCACCTGTTCTTTGTCTCCCAGCCCCGCCCTCTCATTGGTCTCAGGTGTTTCTCATTTTCTGTTAGTATTTATACCCCTGTGTTTGCTCAGTCCCTTGGTCTTGCATTGTGTCTTTATACCCTGTTGCTGTTGTCTGTTTCTCTCATTGTTGGTTTTTGTTTCTTGTTTAGTTCTGTTTACTTTGTTTGATTTCATCATGGACACCTGTGCTACTGTTTTTGGACTCTGAATTGTATTTTAAATAAAAGCAACTCGCATCCTGCCCCAATGCCTCCTACGTTACATGCCT